TCATGTAACCCACAAATCCACTACTTCAGATTTTATTAAACTCTACTGTAACTAAATATTTTGATTTTCAGAATAAGAGCTCAGATGACCTGAACTACGCAGCTATGAGTTTCCAGACAAAACTCAAAAGAAGTCGCAGGCCTGCGACACACAGAGAGCTGGAGTCTCATGTTGTGTATGCTGCCACACGGTAGACAAGGAGGTGGAGCTCATGTTTTAGGATAATAACCCACTGATGTAGTTTTGTGTATGTGTTGTGGATGATGTGGCAAAACATACTAACAAAAATAAAAATAACAAAATTTGCATTGAAGTTGTCTTTGTATCTTTACTTTTGTGCCTCTGTCTTTTTTATTGTGCAACTTTTCTTTTAAGTGTGTTGATGATGGAAAAGTTATTGATCTGATGCTGAATATGAACTTTTCTTATGAGGAATGTCTCATGAGGAATAGACATGTTGATATATTTTTTGACAAGAGTCCTTGGAAAATAAAAACATTTTTTCCAACTTTTCATCCATTGCTTTATTTCTCTTTGTCTACCTTTTGTGTGAGAAATAAAATGTATTAAAGTGTAAATATAGAGGAGAAGTCAGAAATGACACTGATGACTGTGAAAACGTCTCATAGGGAGAGTCTAAATGTCTGCTGTGGAAGGAGTCAGGTAGTAAGGACGAGACAGTACAGTGTGATCTGAGCAGAACTGCATTGAAAATCTAAAGTTGGAGTTTCTTAAACAGCATAAAAGCAACAGAATTATAATCTATTTAAACCAGCTGCTGTGTTTCCACATCTTAATTGTGTAACGATACAATAGGTCAGTGCCTTGAGGTATGAGCAAAGAGTTCCCTCCATCAGTCGCATCTGGCATTGTCAATCACTTCACAGACCATTACATTGCACAAGCTTTTTAAAATTCACACAAACGTGATGTCTTTTTTGTTAAAAAATAAACAGCAAGAACAGATTTTGCTATAGCATGAACACTTTCCTACTTTTAAGAATAATTTACTAATTTTTTTCTCTGACATCATGAACCCGAGTCTTGTCTGGTTGTCAGTAGTAGATTATTTGACATGTTGGTTATTTATTTGTGCGAAAAATAAGCAACTGGGTGGTGTACGTTTTGAGCATGCTCAAGAGCACCGTACATGTCCCTACAACACTGACATCAACTGTCAATGGAACCGAGCATTGGGAGCAAAAGGAGGAGGAACTTTGACCTCTCAAAATCATGCTGGTATGGATGCTGGTAAGTTCAATTTGGAATTCAGGAAATGAGTTTATTTGTGGATAGCTGGTTATGCTAATCTGTTTCACTCTGAATTACAGCTGAGTCTAGTTATTGAAGTTGACTCAGTATTGGCTCTGCGGGAGCGATATAATTCCAGCATGTTTTGTGTGTTTCTTGTGAGGATTGCTGATAACATGGTTAGTTTCGGTCGCTGTCTGAGGACTTTGTATAGGCAAGTCTAGCAGAGTTGTAGGTGTACCAGATAATACCAATAAGGCAAGAACCTTGTCAGCTGTTGGAAACTCTTGTTTAATCACAAAATGATGCAGATGTTCAAAAAAGAAGAAGTTCAAAGAAACAAATACATTTCTGAGGTTTTTTAAAGTTTTCTCAAAAAACTTTAATCTTTCCAAGATTGCAGTTTTGTTCTGCATAATCTGAGATTCTCTGAGCCCATTAAAATATCGGTAAAGACCACCTTACTGTTACTGTAAATTGAGTAATAAAAATCATCTGTCTGCTTTCCTGTTTAGTGTCACAGGTAACTACAACTAGATATCAGGTTCCACATGCACCACACAGCTGGAAGACCCTAAAAAGAACCTGTTGAACGAGGGACAAAAGTGAAAATGTTTGCAGGTCATTGGTGGGATGAAGAAGAAAAGAAACACTCCGCCCCTCTGAACCCTTTTATAAGAGCTGTGTGTTAGAAACTATCAAAGCAGTGACAGGATTAAATGCATGATGAAGAGCTTTGTCATGATAACAACTTTGTTTCTCTGCCTCGGTATGTCTTCTTGTTACTTTGTAAATTGTTAAACGTCATTAAACAGAACTAATTCACAATTGTCCAGTCACAATAACTTTAACACTGTAGAGACAGAAATAAATTTTGTGCTCTTTCATTTCAGGCGGGATCTCTGTCTCAGGTTCTGAGTTTCAGACTGTGGAGGTCCAGCACGGGGACGAGGTCACACTGCAGTGTTCCAACATTTCCGCCTATCCAACGCAGACAGACTGGTTCAGAGTGGATAAAACTAAGCCCAGCTGTGTTTCTTCTATGTATGGATCTGACAGCGAAGCGTCATTCTGTCATGGATTTAGAAACAGAAATTTTGATATGAGTTCCAACGTCTCTTTTGTCTTCCTTCAAATCAAGCGAGTGGATTTATCTGATGCCGGGCTGTATTTCTGTGGATTGTACATCAGTGGGCACACAGTCATTTCTAATGCAGTCGAGTTAAGAATTCAAGGTAAGATTGGAGTTAATGATCTATTTATATGTTCCTATGTGTTTGTGTAATGTTTAGCTTTTGTCATCAATTTTATTTTTACCGTAGCATGAAATGAGCTGAAAGAGTAACAGAATATTTTTATGCATAAAAATAATTTTATGGCCATGGTTCTTCACAGATACGGATGAAACAAATGATGGAGTGGAATTTAATGATCAAGTGAATGGAGTGGAAAGTAAGCATCTTTTCCTTTCTCTTAAAAGTTAGGTTTAGGTTTTTAATTATATTAACATTTGAAATGAGTTCCAGGGTAACTTTGTTTTTGTTTTTTTTCCTTTCCTTCATTTCATGTACATGGATTGCCTGTGTTTCTTTGAACTTTACATAAATAAGCATCTAATCATCGCTAATGACATTATTAATCAACATTATAAGATAATACACAATAACAAAGCTATAATAAACTTCAGTTTATAGGTTCAAGTGTTTTGACAGAGAAATTAATGTGCTTTAAAATCATTTGTAACAATTCGAAAGGGAGCCAGCAGAAGTATCAGCTGTCTGCTGAAAGCAGAAGAGGCCCAAGAGAGTGGTCTTAAATTTCAGTTTACATTAATTTTAATTTGCTATATTTATAATAGTCATAATACAAAGTAAAATTACATTTGTGGTTGCTTTACAGTGAGAGTGACTTTGATTTTGGTCATTATTTACAGTTTTTTTTTTTAATTAAAGACATAAACAAAAATAATACATATTAATGGAAGTTTTCACATATAGTATTCAGTGTACTCAGTATGAATATTCATAACCATAACCATTACTAATAATAATAAATCATGAACTAAACAAATAAACCAAAGTGTTTTAAATATAATAATAACGTTTGTTTTACCTGTTTCAGTTTTTGACTAATAAATAACCACATCAGTTTTGATATTTTGATTATATTAAAACTATCTAATCAATTTTTAAAGGCATTTCCTGTTTTGTTATTTTTCAGAGTATGGATTTGTATTTAAGTTAGTAAATGTGACTTTTTGCATGAAAGCACATTAAAAAGTATTTTGCAAATACATGTTATTATATATATTATAGTATTTTAACAACATATTTTATCAGTCAGTGCTGTTTGCTGTTGCAGAGTCCAGCCTTGTGCCTGTGGTGTTTGCTACACTGACTGCTTTCTTTGTGATGGCTGTCGTTGGTTTGGCTTGGCTTTTTTCAGGTACATACAACAAGTGATTTATTAAGAGTTATTACATGTGATACAATGACTTTTAACACTCAAAATGTAACTTTTTATATTATCTTTCAGCAGTGGACAAAGAACAGCATACTCCCAGGAACAAGGTGACGCTTTAAAAAAAAAAGCAAATTACATCTACTAAAAAAGCGAGGAATAGATCATTTGTGATTATGATGCTGTGTAAGAAATAATCATAATCACTTCAAAGTCTTCAAATATCCCAGGGAAGATACTAAGGTCAGTGCAGAGCAGCATTGACGATGTTAGAGAGGGTGATCCAAACAGCTTATTGAGTGTGAATGGGCGGAATTATCATTATCATGGCTCTTTGTACCATGCTGTAGCACTATGGTGCTTGGAAACTTTTTGCTTGAAATCTCTTACATGTTTTATTTTGTTCAGTTTTAGTTATATAGCAGCAAATCAAAACAATGGTCACCTCAAATTAGGTTGCAAATTAGGTGCAACTTTTTCACTAAATGAAAAAGTTGCACTTTGGAGATACATTTATTTCACACGTGCAGTTTATTGCATTGCTCCTTGTTGACCACGAAAGGATGCTCTGTTGTAAAGTTACAGCAGCATGACTTGTATATATCATATAGTCATAAATTCACTTAATGAAGTGTTTGAATCCAGTGGCTGGGCTCTTTCTACGTATGAAAGGAAAGCCTAGCCAGATTTTGTCCAGTGATAACTGGGATAGATTCCAGGTGCTCTACAACCCCGAATAGGATAAGGACTGGAAAAGAATTGAAGAAAAGATCTCTTATCTTATTTTTATGTTACATTTCTTCTGTTCTGAAGATATCCCAGGTAGCCCTGGGTCCATTTTGTGAAGAAAATATTGTACCTCAAACACCAAATTTAGTGTGAGTGGACACAAAGTCTGAATTAGAAACCTGGAGTTATTGTAAAGCAAAGTTGATAGTCCCAATCCCTATTATCTCTATCTGAAGGTTTCAAATGAATGTAATGGATGAATGCCACACTTATTTGGTAGTGTATCACTCAGAGGTACATTTAAAACAAAAATCATTTGGCTCTTTTTCTGTCTTTTTTGGAGTCTAGCCTAGAATAATCTAGCATATGCTAAGACTGTCACAGTCAAGGATAGTGAAAGTACTGAGTCTGTGGTTGTTTTGCTATGTGACTGTAAATTCTTTCACCTACAGAATGTGGACTCTGTTGACCTGAACTCTGCAGCGTTGAGACTCCACCCACAAACACCAAGAAGCAGAAAGCCTGCAAAAGAGACACGAGTGGAAACTCATGTTGTTTATGCTGCCAGTGCATAGAGCTGATTCTCTGTGTTCATGATGAGAAAGCACGTTTAGTGGTTAAGTTTTTTTTTTTAACCCTGTACTAAGCATTTATGTGTCTTTTTTTTCTGCCTTAATTTGTCTTCATCTCAATAAAATGAGGGTACACAAAGTTACGCATAGGGGGAGTCAGGCGGTCTTTGGGGGAGGCATGAGTGAGATACTGATCACTTCACAGGAAGAGACTTTACAGTGTGGTCTGAGCACAGCTGAACTCACAAGGCCTCTAC